TTTTAAACTTTTGTATTATGTGTTTCTTTTAATGTTGTAGGCCGCCCTGAGTCCTTGGGAGAAGGGCGGCATATCAATCTAATAAACAAACAACAACAACAAACCTTAATAAAATTATGCTGTTTATTCAAAGTGATTTGGTTGCTTCAGCTGAGCCCCACCCAAGAGACCCCCTCTCAGTGAGCAGATTCAATGGAGCTCTTAAAGACCCAGGAAGACAGATTGGTTGAAGGAAGGAGAGAGTTTGATGCTTCTCCTGAATCCATCACCCCTTTGATTAATTTTAATCAATTTTTAAAAATGTTATTGTTAATCTCAATTGGGTTTGTTTTTTGGGTACTCTATTTAATTTTTTAAAACTTTTGTAATATGTTTTTTTTAAATGTTGTACGCCGCCCTGAGTCCTTGGGAGGAGGGCGGCATATAAATCCAATAAACCATGAACCAGATCTCTGCTCAAATGAAGTTCTCCATAAGATCAGGGCCAAATCAGAATCATGATGAAGTAAAGGGAGGGATGTGAAGAGAAATACTTTTTTAAGATTTTTGTTTTGCTTCATGGCATGTTCCGTTGATCTATAAGAACATATTTCATACTATGATCATTCTATGTACATTAAAGCTATCTTGGGGGCATGTTACGCCCTCTAACTCCTGCTAAGTCTCCCTTTAAGAATTTTATCTAAATATCCTATATCCAATTTAGCAGGAAAGTTAAAGCAGGCGGTCTACTTATCAAGTATCATTCAGTGGGGAGGACACCTGGCATGAGGTTGGGAAAAGGGCATGAAGGACAGGCAAGAGGGGAGCAAGAGAGGAAAGAGCCCTAAAGTGCAACTTCCCCTTCCAGTTGGCCTTTTGGCTAATGCTGGCCTTGGAGGTCTGGATAATCATCTATCGGAGAAGCTCTGGTGGATTTTGCACTGAGGAGAAGCCTTGACTACCTCTGGGATGCCTTCTCGGTCTCTGGTTCTATGAAGTTCTGGACGTTTTCAAAAGCAGCCTCTTCTTTCCTTCTCTGTCAGGTGCCCTGCCCCCCCCTCCCCCGACAGTTCCACTCTAACCTTAATGCACAGCCAGTTTCACCTCTAAAGATCTTTGGGGCTGGGATCAAAGGGTATCCTGTGTGCTTGTGCTCCTGTGAACTAGGCTGCCAAGAGAGACTAGCAAGAGTTTCCTGGGAAGAAGGTAACATCAGCAGTGAAATGCCATCCTCAGAGAGGCTTATTTGGCCCCTGCCTTGATGACACTTTGGTACCCAGAAAAGGCTTCTTTCTTTGTTCTTTCATTCTACACTGATTTTAATAAGCTTTCCATTGAATTGTTTTCTTGCAGACATTCATTTTTAAGAATCTCAGTTAAAAGCCACCCATAGCAATCAGTTGCACTGAAGACAAATCTTTAATCTGAAACAGTTTTTCAGGTTAGGAACATCTTCTGTCCACCCTCGTCTTATGGCGTGAACTGTATTTTCTACTCTCCCATCTTTGTCTTTTCCTGTTTTGACTAGAATGAGATTTTTAAAGCTGGCAATTAGCAGATTGGGATAAAATACACATATAAGGTGCAGTCTTGTCCTAATTAATGAAGCTATGGTCTGGTGCAATCTTTGGTGTACGCCCTGTATGGTGAAGAGATGTGGGAAGGTGTGAAATTAATTTTGGGTGAAGTATACAAGTTGCTAATCTGTCTGCTCGCCTATTGTTTTTCTTCCCAGTGTTCAGGGAACCTTACACAGTTCGAGTGGAGGATCAGAGATCAATGCGTGGAAACGTGGCTGTATTTAAGTGCCTCATTCCTTCTTCAGTGCAAGAATATGTCAATGTTGTATCCTGGGAGAAAGACACGGTTTCTATCATCTCTGGTAAGAGGGCTAACGGCGGTCTTCCTCCTTCTATTGCGTGGCATTTCTAGGGGCCTCCTGAAGGTGAACTTTTGGGTGTGTCTCCAAGAGTCATTGATCAAAAGTACAATCTGATCAGGCTGATCACAAACCTTGGCTAGGTTTTCCTCACTGGTAGATCTTTCTGAGGATCTTTTTTGCTTCAAATGGTTTGCCAAGCTTCTAATGGGCTTTTCACGCCTTTCTCCCAGTATTTTTGACTTAGGATGTTAATAGAAGTTTAATTTGCTCTGGCACTATTCAGCTCAGTTGTATCTCCTTGCTTAAATTTTGGTAGGACATCTGGCCACGTATGCCCGAAGAGTTTTGAATTTATCTTTCAAAATTGTCTCATGTGTATCTTCATGATTTTTCTTTTACCGTATTTTTCGGAGCATAAGACGCACCTTTTTTCCTCAAATAAGAGGTTGGAAATCTGGATGCGTCTTATACATCGAATACAGCATTTTTTGCCTCCCGAAGCCCCACCCCTTCACCAAAATGGCCACACATACCCTTATGGAGGCTTTCAGAGAGCTCCTGGGGGCGGGGAGGGCAGAAATGAGCAAAAAACAGGCCATTTTTTGCCCCCAGCAGCACTCTATAAACCTTCATAAGGCTATGCATGCATTTTTTTTTGACAAAAAACAGGCCAGTTTTTGCAAAAAACAGGCTGTTTTTTTACTTGTTTTTTTTTGGGGGGGGGGAGGAGCACTGCAAGCCCCCTAAGACTATTCATGCCTTTTTTTAAAAAAAAAAACAGGCCCGTTTTCACAAAAAACGGGCTGTTTTCGGGAGGTTTGCAGAGTGCAAAAACTTTTCCCCCTTTTGGAAGGCTCTTTAACCGATTGATGAAAATTACATTGATCAAGTGCAGAAACAAAGTCTTAGGTGCTGCAGATTGTCAGTGATTTCCTTCTCCAGTACATGGATAAATACACCTGGAAACATCTACCTACCTACCTACCTACCTACCTACCTACTCTCTCTCTCCCTACCTACCTACTGTATTTCTCCCTCTCCCTCTCTCTACCTACCTACCTACTCTCTCTCTCTCTCTCCCTCTCCCTACCTATCTACTGTATTTCTCCCCCTCTTTCTATTTCTCTCTATCCCTCTACCTATCAACCTACTCACACTCTCTCCCTCCCTACTGTATTTCTCTCTCCTTCTCTCCCTCTCTATCCCTCTATTTACCTACCTATTTTTTTTATTTGCCTCTTCAAAATCTTGGTGCATCTTATACTCCCAAAAATACGGTATATAGCCTGTGTGATACTACAGCTGTGCATGTCACATTTATAAACTTTGCATTCAAAGGTTGGAGAAATAGCCATTTCTGCATGAAATTTGAAAGAGAAAATGTGAAGCTGGTTTTTTGTTCATGTCAAGAGATAAGGGGGTGGGGGTTGGTTGCAGTCATAAAATAGGAACTAAAGGTAGTCCTCAGATAATGGCAGTAATTAGGATTGAAATTTCCATCACTAAGTGATGCAATCATAAAGCGTCATGTCGGTGATGATGCCTCATAGCGGTGGCATTTCTGGCTGCCTTCCTTAAGCGGATGATGTCCCGTGGTCCTGATTTGTGATTTCCTGACAGATTCCCCATTGACTTTGCTTGTCGGATGCATCACACCATTGGGACACTGCAATGTCATATTGCGAGTTGCACACTGAGTGCCAGGAATCTCAATCTTATGACCACATGGATGCTGCAGTGGCCAGAACTTTGAGGACTAGTCCTAGTACCACTTGTTCGGTGCTATTGTAACTTCAGTGGCCGGTGAACATGTGGTCATTAAACAAGGATCACCTGTATACAGAATCAAAGTTTGTACCCGGCCTGGGAATACATTAAAATGGAATCCACCGTAGATGGGTGGCTTTCTTAAAGCTGTCTTACAATGAAATGCTGTCTTGAATGAATTTGATGGCAAAACACTACAAGGCCCTGTGGTGGATCCTCTATCCAAGAGAAGATTTCAAGGCCTTCAGTCTTGCAAAGACTAGAAGAGTTTGAATAGACCTGGAAGTCTCACCCCTCTGTTTGACCTTTCCAGCGTACGATCTGCATGATGAAAAGAAAGGGGAAGCAATCAAGAGCTCATTGATTTGTGAGTTGTGCTTGCCTGGAGCATTTTCTGTTTGAGCTGTAGACTAAAGGTTGTCCCTTTTTCAGAAATTCTGAATAGGTCCTACTGCTTTTGTGATTCTGGAGCCCTGATTTTAGCTGCTGTGGCTTGGGTAGCTTGGAGGCATGGGTGAAGTAGATGGAACATATTTGGCCGTTGAGGTACTTCAGAAAGCTGGCTTAGTCTCCAACTAAGAAATTATAACTAAGAAACTAAGAAATGATCCTGTATAATTTAGTGGGGAAATTCCATCCTCAGGTTGATGGGTGGGAGGGAGAGAATTGTCCAAGTCTCTCTTGATTATGTTGATGCTCCTGCTAGAGGTAGGCTTTGTGTGTGTGTGTGTGTGTGTGTGTGTGTGTGTGTGTGTGTGTAACTTGCTCTCTTTGAAAAAAAACCTGCAAAGGTGATTGCTTTGAGGCAGAGACTTCAGCAAGTCTGCCATTCAGCAAATACTTGTGCTGTATATTGGAGGGAAGCTGAAGAGGGAAATGCGTTTAGCATTAGGGCCCTGATGCGGGACCTGGCAAGCCTTTGGAGCTATTGGAGGGACA